GGGCATTAAAGTGTGTGAGACGTGAATTTAAATTGTAATTATTTACAGAGGTATATTATGTCACACTTCTCTTGTAAGTTTTGTCTGTGTGTGGAGACGCTGCAGGCCGTGGCGTAGCGCAAATCCGTGAATGAATGATACAAAGTGAAGTAAACTTCAGTGGATTTCCAGTGCAGAGGGAGTAGGGAGCATGACAGTTGGAACACAGTTCATGCATGGAGCTCTCTTCTAACAAGCTGGTTATCTTAATCAGATGTGTTAAATAAGAGAGGTCATGCAAAATATGCAGAGTGGTGGTTCGCAAGGACTGGACCCTTCTCAAAGTCCCGCCCCCCTTAGTTACCGTTGCTATGTCCGACAAGCCATGGCGCGCTCACGCCACACATCATCACTCACACAGTGAAAAATACATCGCAGAGCAAAGAGGAAACTGACAACGCGCCGACAGAAATACAGAGCAGGTTACTTTTGGTATGAAACAAAGCCTCAGCTTTCAAATTTAGTAATTTTTTAGGAAACTCAAACAATAAGTTCAAATCCACCGATGTAAATCTACTCTCCTGTCTGGTTTGTTTGATGCCAGATTCGGTGTTATGATTGGTCAGATCGCCTGTCAATCAAAAGAGGTCAATTGCTGGTGCTTTCACTAGAACTAAACTCATAAACTCAAATTTACCTCCTACCTTCAATGAAAAAGCAGAGCAACTGTTCTTCCCTCAGTATATCATGTCATGAGCTAACTGAACTAAAGCTGAATTTCAGACACAAACATGTCGACTGATTAATCTCCACGGATCCAAGAACATTCCTTTTAACCTGTCTACATATGGTCAAGGTAAGCAAACATTATGACTATTTGGACACTGATGAACTCAACACTGGGGATCAGAACTAGTTTAATTAAGGTTGCAACGAGTGATAATGTCACTGCCCATCCTAACTTGCGAGATGAATTAAAGCAGCTTTCCTTTCAAATACCCCTTTCTGGTCATCTGTAATTAAATATTAGCTATGAATTCTTCAAAGGTGAAAACATGGTGACACCATCAAAGAAGAACTCCAGGCATGTGAGAAGGGTGTGACAGGAAACTGGTACATGCATTGATCCAGTGCTTACTGTGTATAGAGGTACATATAATGCCATGGTAATCAGGAACCACAGTGCCACAGCAAAGACAGTATGCGGTGACACTGACTATGTAGATTTATTCTTCACTAGAGAGCATTTAGAGCTTCTCTTCTCACACTTGTTACACACTATACAGTCCAATAGTGAAAATTAGTGACAGTTAGTGAAAAATTGACCAAAAGTGACAGTAAAGACATTTATAATGTTACAAAAGATTTAGATTTCAAATAAATACTGTTCTTTTGGACTTTCTATTCTATCCTGAACAAAAAAAAAATTTCCACAAAAATATTAAGCAGCGCAACCGTTTTGAACATCGATAAAAATAAGAAACGCTTTGATAATAAGAAATGTTTTTGAGCACCAAATCAGCATAATACAATCATTTCTGATTCCTAGATAGGCATCTTACCATCACTGGAATAAATTAGATTTTAAAATATATTAAAATAGAAAACTGTTGTTTTTAAGTTACATTAATATTGACTGTTTTTACTATATTTTGTTTAAATTCAGCCTTGGTGAGCATAAGAGACATCTTTTAAAATACATACATTTATACATTGGCAAAGCAAACATGTTTATTTCTGTGGACATGGTAACATCAGATGATTATATCAAGAAAGATGGCTAAATATTTGAAGATTAATCAGTCTATCATTAATGAAAAGGCTTTCATTTTGTGAAATACTATTAATGTAAAGTTCTCATTATATACTATACTATCAATGTAACTGAAAAGTTTATTATTCAATTCTTATTAACTTATTAGCATTTAGTTTGGCCTCCTTTGCTTTAATGTAATCCTGATTATGCTGTTAGCCTGCATAACTGAAAGTGATACAAGGAGAATCTCATGACAAAGCAAACACATGTATACACGCTTATGAGTATACAACCACCTCTCCCTCCCTTTCACACCTCTGGCCCTCACTGGCACACAGAGATCATAAACATGTACACAATTGTGCCTTTCCTTTAAATGTGTCCCAATACACACTGAGCAATCACCCACTCTCTTCCCGTTTATGTGCACTCACACCATTTGGCTGGGGTTCATTAAAAATTCAGTTTGGTCCATTAAAGATTCACCACAGCAGTGCTGTTACGTTTATCAGGCCTCTGCCAGTCGCCCTTCAGCAAGTAACGAGGATTCTTTCCAGGGCCCTGATATTACAGCAAGGCCATGATACTGCTGCTGATCTTTGGGAGGTTAAGAGAGAGCCAGAGAGATGTGGAGAGGCAGAAAGTGGTGAAGGTCCGTCCTACCCTCTTTTTCCATTTCTAGCTACGACAGGCTGTGTGCCTCAATTATTCAGCAGTGTTTCACGCGCCTCCTGACATCACCACTGCACACTCGCAATGCCTGCATCTCAGCCACAGGCTCCATGCTGCCCTGGATCACACCACTGACCACCATCACACACATGCTACAGGCAAGAATGCTATCATTAGTACTGTATGTTCGGACAAACCACACATGGCCACAGAACTGTGTAAGAATATGTTACATCAGAGGTCTTCAACGGTGTAGTGAACGGGTACAAATGAATTTTTCTGAAAAATAATGAAAATGTGTTCAAATACAACATTACTTGTACATTAAACGTTTCATTGTACCACATTCAAATTGATCATGTACAATTAAAATGAACATTATTTGAAATTTAAACAATGACCTTAAATGTACGTTATTAAAGGTCAGGTTTAAAATACAGGTTTAAGGGTCCATAGCTCGAAAAATGGTTGAAGTCTACTGTTTTAATAATAATAAAATACAGTAACACTTTATATTAAGATTCAACTAGTTAAAGCTGACATGAAATGGAAATTTACTGCCTATTTTCTAAATGTATTTTATTGATCTTATTGTAAATGATTCATCCATGTGCGTTTACATTTTTAATTAAAATGTCATAACTTGATCTTCCGGTGAAAAAACAGACTTCTCTCTAGTGATGTATGCGGGACTTTTCCAGTCATTTAGTTACAATCATCTGCAAGCTTGCATTCAGATCTGCCTCTATCCAATTAAAGTGCCTTAGATCAAATGTACTTTAAAGCAATAGAGATCATGAACTTACATGCAGCATTTATTAATCTAAAGTTCAATTTAGCTCATGTTAATGTATAATTAAAACGTTACAAATCTATTAGTATGGAGTAGAAAATAACATTAATCTAGATTAATAAATTCTGTAAAAGTATTGCTCATTCTTAGTTCGTGGCACTTCAACCATTTCACAGCAAAAGTAAAAGAAGATGGAGTATGAGTAACCAGAGGTAAGTTCACGTTGTTTATTCTTAGTGCTCTACATTTACATAATGTTTTCCTTTACATTTCATTGATTGGACTAATCTGAATTTTATGCAAAACAGGTAAGAAATTGAAGCATCACATTCAAATAAATTCAAGATAATATGAAACTGAAATGAAATCTTAAACTACACTTATGAGAACATACGAATAAGAATCTGATCAGAAATCTGGAGCACTACCATTAAATAACAACTATAAAACTGTGGCACTCTCAACAAACAAGTGTACTGCTCTCTATATACTATAAGGTACAACCAACATTTGACTGAGTAATTGCAGACTATCCTGGCCTTTGAAAGATGACTCCGAGATGATAATAGCTTATATGCCGTTAACAGGTTGGCATGTCGAGAGATCTCTCTGGGCTTTGATTAAGGCCAAGGGAATGGGGAGATTTCACAGGAGGGGACTTTGGCACTTGTGTTGGGCCCACCGGATGAATAGCACTGTTGCTTTTAAATGCAGTGCCAGCCAGCACGATGAAGAGTCTGAAGAAAAACAGTTGCCAAGTTCCTTGAAATCAAGCCTAAGAGAGTTGCCAAACTATGCTGATCTAATTACCTGATGTTTTTTGTCCTAGGATCTTTTAAAATAAATCTGTTGTTTACAGGCCATCCATTGGGACCGTAGCATACACATGCGCACACAATGAGAACAGGATCTGTTATAATTCAGCTTGAAGGTCTACAGACAGTAGTTGTTACAGGATTTTGGTCTGTGTGAAACGTTCAGGCAAAGTTAACACAATTAATGTGTTATCTTGATCAGTCTTTGAGTAATCATGCCCATGCCAAGCTGACAATCCAAAAGAGTCATTTAATTAAAATCCATTTCATTTAATTCAACCCAACCTGATACCGTACGAGGACAGGTACACAAAGTGCCCGTTCCTCAAAATAGATTCACTGCTTTTGTTTGCGATGCAGCAGAAACAGTGGCTGGGGCTCATATATACTGACCATCTTCACCAACAACATAATTAGCACTGATGATACTGACAGTGATTAGTGACTCAACTGAGACACAGAAAGAATGAATGAAAGAAGTAGCATCAACAGGTTCACTGCATTAGCTGTTACACATATGAGATCAGAGCACAGACCCATCCACGGAGAGACAGATTATCAATATTGTTCAGTCTGCTCGGATGGATTAACATCATGCTTCCTGTTAAGCATTTGTGGTAGGTTAAAGGGGTCATATGATGCGATTTAAATTTTCCATTTCTCTTTGGAGTGTTACAAGCTCTTGGTGCATAAAGATTTAAATTAGCATGTGCTCAGAGTACAATAAGACAACAGTTTATGCCATTCAAAAAATGAGAATTTGTCATATGTGGCCAGTTCTGATATACTATGCTATATCACAAATAATGCAGATCTGATCAGATCAAAGAGAAAGACCTTAGTTACTTGAAGGATGATGGTGTATTGACACAAATAGAAGATGTAACATTTTAGGAAGATGATGATGCAGCTCAAATACACAAATACAGAGTCAGACTAACAGGTTAACAGGACTAACTAAGGTTTTGCAAAAGCAAAACCTTACCTCTTGCTGACAGCTTTTTTGTGTTGATGATCTTAGCAGCATATTCCTGGCTGGTTGATTTCTTTACACATCGCCGAACAATAGAAAAGGCACCCCTGTTTGAAAGAAACACAGCAATGTCAAATGTCAATAACTAAACAATCAAGCAAGCCTGAAAATTAATTTAAGCAAAAAACATCACATAATCATAATGTTACACAAATGAAGCAAATAGCGTGCAACAGTGCCCATCCAACATTTTAGCAGCGTTGGTTCCAGAAGTAAAGTTTTCACTTTTCCCATAGGGATTTTCCAAAAAGTCTTTGATTTGGACTTGTAAGCTATGAACGAAACCAACCAGCTATGAGGTGAATCACAACTTCCAAGAAACTTTCAAATTGAAGCAACAGATTTAATGAGGTAGAGAACTACAATGCCATGAAACACTGCAAATGACAATCAAATTAAAAATTATGGAGAAATATAAAACTATTGATTTAAAGGTGTTGATTATACACATATACAAACAATACATTTCATGTTTTTTTTTTTTTTTGCGCAAAATAAGTAGATTAAGCATACAAGTATTGAAGTAGTTTGAGAGCTTAGGGAGACTAGTATAATTTGCTTTGATTCTCTGATTGGTAGAGATTTCTCTGCAAAATCCTGGGTAATGTAGTTTTTCCTCAGGATTTCCACTTTTGAACATGGTTATTTAAAAAATAAGTTGAAACAATGTGGGCTGATGACTTCAACCAAAGTATATACCACACTTTTCTCACTCATCTCGGGCCTCATGTATAAAACTTTATGTAGATTTCATCCTAAATGTGTGCGTACGTACAAAAGCTAGATTTTGCGTACGTACAATAGTTTTCAGATTTATAAAGCCATACGTACGCCAGAACCTGTGCAAAATTCGCTTTGTAATACCCAGTCAGCGGAAGATTGTGCGTACATGAATCTCCACCCCGTGTCCTCCCGAAATAGCCATTTTTGGAGCTTACAACACCTAGTTTTAATATGCATAACGTCATCTGCATATAATTTCCATGCATATTCCCATCCACGTGGCACCATGTTTAACTCAGTTAAGGGTACAATACGTTAGGAAAATATGAGATACGGACTATAAATGCGTTTTGAGACATCACTATTTTAATTTATGCAATTTGCCTAAAAGGTAAACATATATTTTAGAATGTTTATAGCCTATATTTTTATGGAAAGATATAGGCCTTATTTTTTTGCAGTAAATAGCTGTCTGACTCACCGCGTCAATAACAAAACATTTTGAAAATAAAATGCGCATATCTTACAGTTTCCTTCAAATTCTATCTTTTAAATGTGGTGTTTGTCACAATATTGGGAAGAGCACGAAAGGGGCTATCATTAGGCTACTGTCTGTGCACGGCACCTGTGAACAGAGGTTCTACTGTCATCAGACCAATGGACTTTTTGATCAACGAGCGCATCCTTATGTCTGTCGTTACCGTCTATGTTCCAAAGCCATCAAACAAAGTTCACAAAATGATTATTATTATTCGTGCAAAAGAATTTTCTCAGAACACGAGTTTTGCTATTTAGAACACAATTTAAAGGGGTCATATGATGCGATTTAAATTTTTCCTTTCTCTTTGGAGTGTTAGAAGCTCTTGGTGCATAAAGAAGATCTGTAAAGTTGCAAAGACTAAAGTCTCAAATCCAAAGAGATATTCTTTATAAAAGTTAAGAGTCAGCCACGCCTACCTAAAACGGCTCGTTCATCATATGGCCCCTTTAAAGCGGAATTGTCATGCGCCAAGCAATCCTCGCTGTGAACATTAAATCGCATACCACAGGAAAATTGTTCGAAAGCTGCATATCCACTGCAAATATTTCAGTTTAAATTCATATAAAAATGTTGTAACTTCAGAGTGTCATATTTAATCTAAACGCGTATGTCAAACGTAAAACAGACTATAAAATCATTCGGTTTGCTTCCTTATTGTGCAAAAACTACAAGAAATGTAGGCCTTTTTGGTTCTAAATGACTTGTCTTAATATTAGGTGCTGGATTGGCACCACCATAGGTCGGTTTTTGTTCTTTGGAACAAGTCTGACAGAAAGCCGAATCATTAAAATGTCGCTTTTACAGTCCCCCTAGCTCATATTCATAAAATATTCAATATTTAGCTGGATAAAGGGCTCTGGCATTCTGCATTCTAGTTTCACTGAGCTTGTACATCGTTCATCTTGACCGATATCACCACAATCTCAAATGCTAATGTTACTCTATAAACACATTTTATTCCATCCCTGGAAAACTAGATGTACTTCCTGGTATAAACGGAAAGCAAAAGTTAGCTTTGACAGCTTTTGCTTCATTGAGTGTTATCAAAGGAGCCCAGTGTGTAGATAGTAAGGCCCGATGCATACTCTGTGCAGGTACATAAGTGCTGATGCTTCCAGGTACACAAGCTCAATTTCATGCGTGTCATTGCATTCCAAAATACCCAAGCAGATGTTTCTAAGTCTTGATGTACATAGTTCTTATGTAGAACCTAATCAGACATAGCTTTAATTTTTACACCAGCAAACTATCATCTAATCAAATAAATAAAAATGTCAATTGTTAAAACAACAATCAATCATACACTTAATAAATCAAATTGTATTATTATTATTATTATTGTATTCTTTTTTAATAATTTCACCATCTTGAAAAAACAGCCATTTAAAACAACCGGTACAAAGTCATTTATTATTTGCAGGTGTGCATGCACAAACAGATGAAAAAAATGTACTCTGCCACATTATTGATGCAGGCCTGCTTCAGGTTTCAGCCATTATATTAGTCCATTAGGTGGACTTTTATCGCTTCTTAGAAAAAGAATGTAACAATTCACTGTCTCATGGTTGTAAATGCTCTTTCTTCTTTCATGGCCAACCTTGTGGAGCAAAACAGTACGATTAGAAATGAAAGCATAAGAAGTGGAGGGACTGTAATTACACAGACACAGGTTGATATGAAAGCTTAATTAGAGCAGAATAGAGGTGGGTGGTTATTAATTGCAGTGTTCCTGTAGTGCTGATGCTCTGTACAGTGAACTGTGTATGAGAATGTGTCCTTGCATGCTGGGAAAAGCCACATTTTGGTATACTCAGTCCTCTGCAAAAGCTCAGCAGCAGAGGATGGATGGCTTGCTGCCAGACAGCATCGGTTCATCAGGAAAGTGCGCTGCTTTAAGTATTACAGACTATATATGCAGATCATGTTTGAATTATATATGTGATGCATAATGTGCCAAAATCAGCCTATTTTGTCTGTCAGTGTATGTTATGTTTAAAAACGAGATTCGGTAAAATTAAAGCGTTATCAGCACTGTCAAGCTCTGACTGCATTATCACTTCATCTGTGTAACTGAAGATCAGTTGAAGCGTCACAAAACAGGCTAAAATATCAAGAGCAGTTTGTTAGGCTAAATGCAAATGTATTGTAATACTCTTGACGTCTTTACATTAGCACAATCACCATCTTATGAATTATAATTTGCCTATAATGAGTTGCCTGCTGCCCATTGTAGTGGTGATTGTGTTGACACACCACAGCATTATGTTGCTTTATTGATTTGTAAAGCAATTGTGTAATCCAATACTGCTCTTAGCATGACCATTAAACTGGGATGCATTTAAGATGCTGTAAGCAATTTCAGTCATTTTGCTAATTTACGCCAATGTGAATTAGACCACCCCCATTCCTTCAATAACCTGCACTTTCACCAAAACCCCAGCCTTCGGTGTTTCTTGTATGTCTATTTTATAGTATATCTTATTTGCTGTGTTGTGCTTGTTAAATGACACAACGAAAGCAATGAGTTGTGATGTCCGATTTGCCAAAAAAAAAAAAAGATTCACATGAGCTGGTTCTTTTTAACAAATCAATCAGAAAAGATTCACAAAACAGTCACAAACAAATTAGTGATTTGAATGAGACAGCGAATCAAGCTGTTCACAGCTTACTCCCTCACTAGAGAGAATCCTTTTGGGTATGTCCCATTGGGAATGAATTAAAAGACTGTTACAGTGACATACACTTCAAGCCTAGCTGCAGTATAAGATACACATTTCAAGAGTTTAGTAATAAATTAATTTGCCTATAATGAGTTGCCTGCCGCCCATTGTAGTGGTGATTGTGTTGACACCACAGCATTATGTTGCTTTATTGATTTGTAAAGCAATTGTGTAATCCAATACTGCTCTTAGCATGACCATTAAACTGGGATACATTTAAGATGCTGTAAGCAATTTCAGTCATTTTGCTAATTTACGCCAATGTGAATTAGACCACCCCCATTCCTTCAATAACCTGCACTTTCACCAAAACCCCAGCCTTCAGTGTTTCTTGTATGTCTATTTTATAGTATATCTTATTTGCTGTGTTGTGCTTGTTAAATGACACAACGAAAGCAATGAGTTGTGATGTCCGATTTGCCAAAAAAAAAAAAGATTCACATGAGCTGGTTCTTTTTAACAAATCAATCAGAAAAGATTCACAAAACAGTCACAAACAAATTAGTGATTTGAATGAGACAGCGAATCAAGCTGTTCACAGCTTACTCCCTCACTAGAGAGAATCCTTTTGGGTATGTCCCATTGGGAATGAATTAAAAGACTGTTACAGTGACATACACTTCAAGCCTAGCTGCAGTATAAGATACACATTTCAAGAGTTTAGTAATAAATTGGTGTTATTCCAAAAATAAATAAATGTTACAAAAAAACAAGCTATTGTCCAGTATAGTGAGGCTCAATTGTATAAGGTTGAATCGAATCAGGAGAGCTTTGTTTGGGAGTATGACTGTAGGCGTATGACATATTGGAAACATAAACAATGCAACGCATTTTAATTCAAACAGGCAGAAATATTCTTATAAAACAAACTGACATTTATGTGGCACAAACACAGTTATGATCTTTAGAGTGATGGCATCAGATCTAAATGAACCTGAGAAACATTTTATATAATTACAACATCCCTTCATCACAGCATATAGCATAACTTGCGGTTTAAGTGTAAAGAAAGCTATGCACTCAAATGTATTCAGTTCCTATATACACACACACTAGTAGAACAGAGTCTTCTGTAACTCTTCCATACTAGCTGGTGTAGTTTCTCATCCACTACAATAGATTGTGAGCAGGGACAACAGTGTTTGATCAACCATCTG